AATATTTACTTTACATCCAGGAGCCTTGCTAAAGTTATTTATTATAAGTTACATAGATTCTGGTTAAACAAGGAAATACATATTTATACATTTTGTTAAACGCTGAACCAAAAACTGAAAATAAAAAAGGGAGCTTATCAAGGAATGGGCTTTTCAGAAACAGAGAAATTTCATCTGAAACCTACAGGATGAGCTGGAACATCTATTCAAAGGCTGGCGAAGAGTATCACAGAGAGAATGGCATATGCAAAGGTCCTGAGGCAGGAATAGCTGGGCCTATTTGGGGAAGCCAAAGAAGACAGGGAGTCTGGAAGACAGGGAGTCTGGAATGGGGGTGGGAATGAAGCCCAGAGTGAGGGTAAACTGATAGGTGATGGACAGGAACATGGGGCAGTCACAGCTTAGTTATGCCCCTTGAACTCTAATCAGAATGTATTGGAGATACTACAGGGTTACCATGTGACCATGTGTTGTTAATGACTTTGCCCTTTCCCAAGTCACTAATGACCTCCATGAGGTGCGGAAGTCAATGGGCAGAGGCCTCAGGCATCTAACCCATCAGGACCATCTCACACAGGTGGCCCCTCCTTCATCCTAGAAACAGTCTTCACTTGGCTTTCATGGACACCCCCACTTTCCTCCTCCCCAACAGGCCGCTCCCTCTCCATCTCCTTTGCTACATTTCCCTGACATTTTGACACTTGAGGCTTCATGGCTCAGATCTTGCTCCCACTAATTATTTGGCCTTTATGCCCACTCATTTACCACATTCCCCACAGGCAAGCATTCCAGTGTGTTCTGCGTGTTTTTGTTTGTAGATGTGCTTGGGAAACATGTGTTGTTTCCTAGGAAAAACATTTCACTGAATGGCTCACGTAGTGGCTTCTCAGGGCACAGGAGGGACCCTCCTGACTGTGGTTTTCTCCTCGTCTCCGTCACATTTCTGTTCGCCTGCCCTTGCTGGTACCCTGGGTCCGCCTCTCTCAGGCCAGGGTCTCACCAAAGCCTCCTCACCCAGGCTTTGCCTCAGCTGGACCATGGCGCTTCCCCAGAGCTGCCTCTGCCCACCGTGCGCTTGTAATAAACAGGTTCCACCTCCGCGCCTGCTGTGTGTGGGCCTCAGGACCACATCCTGGAGGCTGCTGCCGTGACCATTTCTAACCACCTGCTCATTCTCCTCACAGAATGTGTGAAAGGGGACGAGCACCATTTAAAGGACCCTACCTCCACTCTGCTCATCCAACCATTGGACAAATACAGCCCTCACCCCCCACCCTTAATGCCAGGCTACTGTACATAATACGCAGGCCGGGTAGAAGGATGAAACGGGCCAGGACTACAGGCACCAATGCCTGGCGATCTGAGGTTGGGCACATTCCCAACCCTCCTTGGGCCTCAGGTTCTCCCCATGGCACATGGTTTCCTCGGCCGTGTGCCTGGCTGGCCTGTGGTACGCAGTGACTATGGCAGTGTAGTGACAACGCAGCAGCTGGTGGATGAGGAAACGTCAATCCATGCTGGACGGGCACCACGTGCCCAAGGACTGAAGGCCCCACTTTAGGGGACTGCCAAGGGGGGACCCCCACTTTGCTGAGCCATGGGGGGACCAGGTGATGCCACTCGGAGGGGAGGTTTCGGAGGCTTTGCAGACAAAAACAACTAAGTGTAGAGAGTTGCTCTGCTGGTCTTTATTCACTGCCCAGCAGGAGCCCACAGACTCTGTATAAACAACAGAGAGAAAGAAGATCTTGCTCCTCCAGGGGTGAGGAAGGTATAAAATTCCGATTTTCACTTCAACTATAACCTGAGTTAGAGGAACTCCGCCACCTGCAAAGTGCACCTCCCTTTCCTGAACAGCACCTGCGGCTTTCGGAGAACCGGGGAGCAGAGCTCCCTGTGGCCCCACAAGCTCTGGGGTTGGGGGTAACTGGGGCTCTGCTCCTGCCCTGGAGCGTCCTTTCCCTGTGGAAAGAGAAGCCCTGGGGTCTTGGGTCAGGCCCAGAGCCCAGGAGCAGGCTGTCCGCGCCACGTGAGCCATCCGGCTGCTGCCCCGCCAGAGCCAGCTCCGTGTGCCCGGAAAGGAGCCCGGTCCCCGTGGAGGCCCTCCCTGAGCCTGTGGTCTGGGAGCTGGGATGAACGTAGAGGCCCAGCTGAGGACAGGTGGGTGAGTGGTACCAGCCATGGATGGAGCAGCAGGTGTAGCAGACAACTTCTAAGACCCTGTCGCACCGAGGACACCTCGGGTTCCTCGGGAGTGGACCTGCCGCCCCAGAAGCCACCAGGCAACGAGGAATCTCCCATGACATCTCGGCCAACTTGTCCACCACTGGGCTTCAAGCCCTGCCCCCAAGGTCACACTGAACATGAGACGTGTGGGACTTGGGACTGGACTGGACTCGGGCCACTGACCCGAGGCCCACACAGCCCAGCCCTGCCTGAGCCTGAGCATCAGGGGCTGGGTTATATGGTTGCCTCTTAACTCCAGACTCCAGCCCACCTGCTCACCCTGAACGGTTTCCTGGTATCAATGAGGCAAATGGAACCGCTTTGTTTCTTCCCTGACTTTGCAGGTCATTGCCCAGGGCTCCCCAAGAGCTGGTGGCTAATCCCCTGATTCGCAGCAACCTCTCGTCAGTAGGCCAGAAGCCCAGCCTCACTGCAGTCTGCGTCCCCATGGCTCAGACCTGGCTCTGGAACAAGCTTGGGGGTGGGGCCCAGCCTCCTGATGCTGTGGCTGTGGGACCGTGTGAAAGCTCCCTGGATGGTCTGTGTGTCATCTCCCCGCTTATAAACGGGGTGACGAAGGTGCTTCCTAGCACGTGGACTGAGGAAGAGATGGCACCAGTGGTTAGTTAGCTCAGACCATGTCAGCCCTGCTCTGTGCCTGCCACAGCCTGGCCAGGGGGCGGGGGACCCTAGCTCGGGGCGCTGGCCAGAGAGCTGGGAGATTCACTGACCTTGGCTCCCACTGGGAGATAGTGAGCAGGAGCCGGTCAGGGCCTGGGCTGGGGGGGGGCGGGCGAGGGCGGGGATTAACTCCTGGAGGGATGGTTTTTCTACTAAATGAGCATCGCCTTGGTCTGAGGGAGAGGTAGGGGAACCCCGTGACTGTCCTCAGCACCGGGAAGCTGCCTGCTTCCTGCCATTCGTGATGATGACGAACAGGGCTCAGTCCGAGGGCCAGGAGGGAGCGTGGGGAAAGGCACCCTCTTGGCCACACGCAGCGCCTTCAGTCTGGGAGACCTGGGAGCCGGGGTCCTGGAACAGAGGAACTCGGCCGCCCAGATGCCTCCGGGGCCAGGCCAGCTCCCGGCTCTAAAACACAAGCTTCTTGGGAACCTCCCACGGGAACTCGCTTCTTCCAAAGTGGCCGTAGCACGCGGTCTTCTGGTAGATGGGTTTCTTCAAATCCAAGTCCCTGCGAGGCCCGCAGAAGGAAGGGTCATTTCCATGGGAAGGAAACAGAGTCTCTCTCCGAATTCCAGGCGCAGGAGTAGCAGCCTAGTACAGTCTTTGCGAGGAGTGTCACCACTCAGGTCATTTCCCCTAAATGTCCTGTCTACACGACACCGTGTCTGTGGGTGGCTGTCACTGTCACTGGCCCCTGGGAAGCAGCTCAGAGGCTCAGGAAACCCCAATCAGGGGCCTGGAGTGCACTCTAGCCCCGCGGTGCCTTTCTCCTCTGCACCCCACTGACCTGGCCCAGACCAACGCCAAGTTAGCACGCTCTAGAAAGCAGGGATGGCATTAGAGTGAGGACAGATGGGACTAGACTTGCTGCCTGAATCCTTAGCCACTCAGCCTCTGCCTTTCCTGAGGCCTCCCACCTGGAGTTGGCCTCCGCTGGGCCTGCAGGATCTCACGCGGCTCCTCAACCTGAGCTCCAGACACCCTGCTCCTGGGTGTGCATGTGCTGGGCCCAGGGCTCGAAGACGCCCTGCTCCTGGGGCTGCACGTCCTTCCTCCTGCTTCCCTTCCCGCCGAGCTGAGCTGTCCTGCCCACAAGCGCAGGGCAGTGGACTTACCTGACGATGACGCCAGGCCGGAGGTCGAAGTTCTTGTTCACCACGTCCAGCAGCTCTCTCTCGGTCTTCTTCGAGGTTCCGTAGGTGAAGATGGAAATGGACAGTGGCGCGGCCACACCGATGGCGTAGGAAACCTTCCGGGGGAGACGAGGGTCAGGCACCAAAGCTGGTGGCAGGGCTCTGCCCCCCACAGAAACCCCATGTCCTCCGGAAGGGCAGCTGGAACCACGCACCAGGCTCCTCTCGCCCCACACGCTCCCCGCACCGTCTGTCCAGTAGCCCTGCCGTCCTCGGGGTGACAGGCTCTGTACATGGCCCTCTCCCTGAGGTTCTGTCCTCTCCCCGGGCTTCAGGGTCCTGGCCACAGTGCCCCACACGACCCCCAGAGCTGCATGCTGTGGCCAGAGCTGGGCCGGGGCGCGGGGACCCACCTGCACAAGCACTCTCCGGCACAGCCCTGCTTTCACCAGGGACTTGGCCACCCAGCGGGCAGCGTAAGCCGCCGAGCGGTCCACCTTGGTGTAGTCCTTCCCGGAGAAGGCCCCGCCACCGTGCGCCCCCCAGCCGCCGTAGGTGTCCACGATAATCTTCCGGCCAGTGACGCCCGCATCCCCCTGCAGGAGGAGAGGGGGAAATGGAGATGAGAGCCGAGCCCCAGGGCCTGGGAAGCGGACACTGAGGCACTGTGGTGGCCAGAACCACCGCTGGGAAAGGGTGCCCTGCGGTGGCCCAAGGGCACGTTTCAAAAACTCCTTGGCTTGGAGTCGGCCAGAGCAGACCAGTCACTGACCAGCTGGAAGTCAGTAAGCCGGCAGAGCCTCATCAGAAAGTGCAAACGATGAGCCCGCTGGGATGGCAGCCAGCCCCCACTGCCTCTGCTTCATGAGCCAATCACAGTGCAGAAATCCAACTGCAGGAGGCAACTGCGCTATAATCAGCACGGCCGGGCCAGGACCTCGCTGGTGCCGCCCATAAGCGCCATGGCGCCCATTTCCTCCCGTGTCTGCTCTGTGCAACACCCGGCAGTGGAGATGCCAGGGCTCTGTGTTAAATGATTAGAGAAAAGTGCCTGCTTTCCCCCCTGTTAGAGATCACGTCCACACTCATGTTTCTAGCCTTGGAGAGGTCCTGCAAGAAAATACAAGCAGCGTGGCCTTTCTTTCCAGCTGTGCTCCTGCACTTCGCCTGGTCACAGGCCTGTTACGGGGCTTCTGCTCTGTGGCAGCACAGCCACAGCTGAGGCCCCGACAGTGGCCGGCAGCCTCGCACAGATGCCATACCAATCTCCGTGGCCTCGCTCCCACGGGGCAGGAGAGAGGGGGCAGCAGGTGTCCACATAATAAACTGCCCACCTCCATGCCCACAGGAGTTGAAGGGAGCCTGTGGCAAAGACCCGTGAGCGCCACCCGGTAAAGGTCAGTCATTTGCGATGCGAGTTAGCACATTAGCAGGTGAGGCAGCAGCCACTTGGGCAAGCATGGCATCAAGAATTGGCTGTCTGGCCTTAGCCAGTCTGGCTCAGTGGATAGAGCATCGACCCTCAGACTGGAGGGTCCCAGGTTCGATTTGGTCAAGTGTATGTACCTTGGTTGCAAGGCTAGATCCCCAGCCCTTGCCGGGGTACATGGGGGAGGCAACGAGGAAACCAGTCGATGTGTCTCACATAGATGTTTCTCTGTTTGCCTCTCCCCCTCCCTTCCACTCTCTCTGAAAATCAATGGGAAAATAACCTCGGGTGAGAATTAACAACAACAACAAAAAAGAATGGGCTGTCTGGAGTGGGAGGGCCAGGCAGCACAGGTGGAGGAATCCTGGGGACACGTCCCCGTCCCTCAGGTACTGACAGGTACACAGCAAGCCTCACAGAGAGGGAGCTGACTTCACAGTTGCCCAAGGCCAGACCTGGTTGAGTCACACAGCCCCCTACAGTCTGTGCTCCGGGAGGGAGCACCCCAGTAACAGACAAACCAGGGCCTCATCCAGAGACCGGGGCGCACCTGGGGACCGCCGATGACAAAGCGCCCGCTGGGCTGCAGGTGGTAGATGGTGTCTTTGTCCAGGTACTTGGCGGGCACCACGGCCCGGATCACCTTCTCCTGCAGGGCCTTGCGCATGTCCTCCAGCGTGATGTCCTCATTGTGCTGCACAGAGATGACGATGGTGTGGACGCGCATGGGGATGACCGCGCCGTTGTCCTGCATGTACTGCACTGTCACCTGTCGGTCAGAAGGGCAGGAGACTCGTGAGGCCCTGCTCTGAGCGGAGGACACATCGCTGCTGGGCACAGAGGCAGCCAGGGCTCCCAGGAGCCAGGGGCCTGCTGTCTTCCAAGGGCCTGCAGGAAAGCTCATCTGACGCATCTGGTATCTGAATAGCTGCCTAGTGCTATGCGATGGCTGGGCATCAGGCATAAGCTAGTCCCACCTGTGCCACAATTAGTGCCCCTTGGAGACTCGGGGTTTACACAGTTGTCTCTCTATGACCCACTGGACCCCTTTACTGCTATCTCAGAGGGTTCTGGGTGCCAACAAGTATCCCCTGGTCAAAGCCCTCCCTTCATCCTCTATGTCCCAGGGCCCAGCTATTCTGGCTCCTTTCAAGGACACAGGAGTCTGCAGGCCGCGGGCCAGCTGTCCCAGCCTCTCGGGGAGGAGCTCTGGAGGCAGACAGGGCCAGTGACTTACTGGCTGAGGCCGAGGGAGCTGCCAGCTCTGGGTGTTCTGGCAAATGAGAGGGAAGCGGACAGCACCCGGCGGGCGGCACCTGCCTGCAGCACCCTCCAGATCAGGCCACAGGGACAGATCCAGCATCACTGCCCCCAGCGAGGCCAGGCTGTGCCCGTTCTGTGCAGGACCAGTTACTCTGTAAGCCACTCCAGCCGGGCAGGCCTTGTGCGCTCCGTTTCACAAATGAGAACACGGCTCTGAGAAGTGAAGCCACTTGTCTGAAGCCACACGCTCGTCAGAGAAAAGCCAAAGAGCCAAACCCTGCTCTGCCTGGTCCAAAGCCCGTGCCATTCCCACAGCAGCACAGACGAGACGCTGCTCCCGTCCTTTCCTGACACCTCAGTGAGCAGGAGAGCCTGGCGTCCCGCCTGGCCGGGCTGTGAGGCGGAGAGCAGCCAGGGCAGCCGGGGCTGGCAAGTGAGAGGGAGGAGCGGTGAGCACGGCAGACAAAGCTGGTTAAAGAAACGGCATGGCCCGAGCATGCACTGTATGCCAGGAACCATGCCAAAAGCTCTAAGAGGCTGTTACCAGCCCGTCTTAAAGACAAGAAAGCTGAGGTCCAGAACATAAATGCCTTGGTCAAGGTCACACAGCCAGCAAAGCCGGGCTCTGACCGGGAGCTGTGTGGCCTGGCGGGGGCTCTGCCCAGCAGGAAGCTGTCACTCAAGACCCTCAGGGCTATGCTGGAGCCACAGGCCCCGTTGCTACCCAGTCAGTGTGAACCCACAAGAGCAGTGCCCCGAGGGGCTCTGGCGTGTGGGGGCCTGCAGGAGTGAAGCTATGCCAGGGGCCCTGGTAGAGACACTGGCTGTAGGCACAGCACTGCTCCCACCCCAGGGCCTCGACAGGACCACAGGGCAGCAAGCAGTGCCCTCCTGGGACTGTGCCTGCAGCCAGTGTCTGCCGGCCCCAGGCCCGCGGATGTCCATGCAACACTGGACTTGTGTCACACTCCCACTCTGCATCCTGCCTGGTCCAAAGAGCAACAGGGTGAGGTCAGGAAAAGGGAGAGAAGGAACCCTGCCCACATGACATCGTGTGAGAGGGGCGATGCACACCCACATCTGTGGACTGAAGCAACCCTTAGTTGCTGGGCTGTGCACACTCAGAGCCCTGTGGGAGGGGCTGGAGTTGGGGGCTCTCAGAAGGGGAGGCCCTACTGGCTCTAGGGCTAGATCTGCCCTTTGGGCCACAGGAGAAGGCTCACATCCCAAGGGGCGGCTGAGGCCCGTCTCCTCTGCCCCTGCCCCCGACCTCCCCTCGGCCGTGAGCCCCAGCGGCGTCCTTGCAGACCCACAAAGCAGTGGCCTCCGAGCTCGGGGCTCAAGCAGGGCTCTTATCTCATCATGTCGGGAAAATGCACCACGGAAAACACACCCCTGACCTGCTGCAAAAATAGCCTCGTGCTGCGACTCAACTCCCGTATCAGCAGGAGGAGTTTGCTCAGGTGGAAAGACTCATCCTGTTCAGTCAGCGCAGGTGAGGTGAGGAAACTCCTCTACCAGGAGGGGGTGGAGAAGGCCTCGCAGCGGGTCCGGGCACAGTGCCCCACAGTGCAGCGGCCTGGGGGTCCGGGGGCCGGGAGGCTCCGTCAGGGGACCCACACCCGCACACAGGCTGCTTGGGTACCAGAGTGGGCCTCGCTCCCGGCCCAGGCGGCACACAGCGGGCTCCTGGGCAGGTTGGTTTGCAGGGCGAGTGAAAAATGGGGTGGTGGTTAGGAGAGGACTGCAGGTGGAAGATTTGGAGCTGAGGGAGCCCAGGTGGGTCCACTAGCACAGACAGAGGGGAGCAAGGGTGGAAGAAGAGCCATGAACCCACTGGGATGTGGAAGAGGAGCCGGGGGAGGGAGCCCCCAGGACAGGAGCAGGTGGACAGGGAAGGTGGACAGGAGGCCTCCAGGTGTGCGAGCGCTGGCATCACCGCGGGCCTCGAATACAGACCTCCGTGGGGATCTTCACTCTGCGGGGAGCCCGGTGGTCAGGGCCCAAGGGCCAGAGGCAGGAACAGCAAAGAGAAGGTGTTTTTATGAGAAAGAAAGGAAAAGGCCCAGACAGATGCAGACGATCCTTGCTCAGGCGGCGTCCAGACCTTGCTCAAGATGTGGAGACCTGTCTTGGGGGCAGGGTAGTGACCAAAAGTTTGAAACCCGTTCAGAAGTTTGTGGCAGGAACTGGGGAATTATATTACCAGAATCAACATATGCCAAGAAGGCAAAAAAAAAAAATCTTAAAAAATTTCTTTCCATTTTCCGGTACTTTTGAAATTTTTCGTAATAAAATGGGGGGGGACATCTAGAGCTGAAGATTTTTCAAATAAATACTCTTTTCAAAATCCACAATTCTGTGTGTCCAGACTGCACATTTTGGCCTTAACGGGAATGAGAGGATGGGGGGCTTGAGGTGTGTCTGGAACCAAAGGAGAGACCCACCTGGGTCTTCGAGTCAGGCCTGAGCCAGGGGAGCACCCCCGAGCGCCTCAGCTCTGCCATCCGGGCGTTGAGTTTGTGAGCAAGGATGATGGTGAGGGGCATGCACTCCTCCGTCTCGTCGGTGGCATAGCCGAACATCAAGCCCTGCAGCGGGGAGAGAGCCCACTGAGCCACACCCGCTTCAGACCAGGGCGGCTGTCCTCAGAGCTAACCCTCCGCTGCGCTCCAACCTCACTCGGGTGCCTCGGGCACGCAGCACTCGAGCTGGGCCCTGTGGAGGGGATGGCATGGTCTCTGCCACCCAACATCCTAAGAGGGGAGACAGCCCAAATCGGCATCAGCAACCCCAGCCTTCCACAGCCCGCGGCGCCCTCACATCGCTGCCCTGAAGTAGGGGCGTGCAGCTCCCTGCGGTCCCCCAGGAGGAGGGGTCACCCCATAGTGTGATTAACCCGTTATTCAGGAACTTCCCTGCCAGCTCCTCAGCACAGGGCAGAGCAGGGCCAGAGCGGCCGCACTGCCTGAGTCCTGCCCCAGCGCCCGGGCTCCGCACTCTCACCTGGTCTCCGGCACCGACGTCCTCTTCGTTTCTGTCCAGATGGACGCCCTGGGCGATGTCTGGGGACTGCTGCTCCAGCGCCACGAGCACATTGCAGGTCTTGAAGTCAAAGCCTGGGCAGAAGGGAAGCAGGCCGAGGGGGGACACGTCAGACACAGGGCGGCTGTGAGCGACCAAGCGACCGGGGACGTTCAGTTCCTGGCGTGCACTTGTGCGGGAAGTGGGAGGGGGTGGTCTCCGGTTAGCTGGGACCTGCCTGGGCCCAGAGCCAATGCCAGAATGGGGAAGGCCCAGTATCCTTACCATCACGTAAGACTCTTTAGCCAAAGAGAGTCCTGCACTGCACACTGCACAATGTTACATCACAGCTTGATCAGACACACACGCCCTCACGGAACTGCTGTGCGGGAACCAGCAGCAGCCCCATCTGCTCCCCTGAAGCGCGGTGGGTGACTCACGCCTGCCCCGGGGCTGCTCCCAGAGGCACCTCCCAGGTCCCAGGTTGGATGACTGCACGAGTGAACCCGGCCCTGCCAACCCTGCCACCCAAAGCCGGACATGGGCCTAATCCCAGTACCCAAGTACGGGCCTCGACTTGGGAGTCTTCAACTTCACGATGTTGCCAAAACGATATGCATTTAGTAGAAGCCATACTTCGAATTGTAAACCTTGATCTTTCCCTGTCGATATTCAGTACCATAGTCTCTCAGATGCTGGGCAGCGATGCAGGCCCCAGGCAGCCACGTGATCAGGAGGGTCAACAACCTGCACTCTCCAGTGTAGCCGCTGTTGGACGATTTGCCCAGCGTGGCTACTGTAGGTGTTCTGGGCCGTGTGCAGCCGGCGAGGCAACCTGGGATGCTCACAGGTTAGCTACACTAAGTGCATTTTGACTTACGATGCCTTCAGCTTAGGGCCGGCTTATCAGGACGTTACCCCGTCGTAATGCGAGGAGCATGTGTATCAAACACACTGAACAAATACGTGTCCCTGACTGTTCAGAGGCTCCCAGCACCGAGGCCTCTCATCCTGAGATGTGGTCCCGAGGGAAAAGCCACACCTGCGGAGCGGAGCCCTGGCTGCCCGCCCTGCAGCTCGGCGGGCACAGAAGTGGAAGCAGGTGGCACCGGCTGGGGCCTGGGCAGGGGAGTCTGGGCTCGCAACAGCCCAGCTGCGGGGCCGCGGGGCCGAGGAGCGGAGCACCATGCACAGACAGCACATTCTTCTCCCTGCGGGGCTTCCAATGTGCAGGCCTCAGCCCAGGGACCCTGTGACTGAGGAGCTAAAGCAAACGGCCCCACCAAAGGGTCAGGTATTAGTGACAAGCTGACTGTCTCCCTCTTTCCAGTCTCTCCTGTCCACGCGGCCAGAGTGGGCCAGTTAAAGCAAACAAACAAGCCAACGACGCAGACCCAATCCATTGTGTGTGCACATGCTTCAGGCGAGGCCCTACCGCCACACAAAGTAAAACGGGCCTCCTGCAGCGGGACCCCTTTCGCCAACGTGAACTCGGGGGTGGCCTTAAAGAGGACATGCCCTCACCTCCCCGAGGTCTCTGCTGGAATGCTCCTCTTCCGACCCCCAGCCCCGCACACCCGAGTCAGGCGGCTCTCAGTCAGCATCCCTGGGCCCTCCCGCCGCTCTTCCTGGCGAGTTATGCCACCGACTCCCTGCCGGGCACTTCATGCTGCGTCATCTGATGCCAGGCAGTGCCCCCACCCCAGGGACACCTCTGTCCTGTGCCGACTCCTGTGCCCAGTGACCGATTCTAAAGGCACCAACCAATGAACAACCTTTAGAGAGCTGCCAAGGACTCACCATTTTGCAATAAACACCTCACATTTGGCCTAATCACTGTCTAAATCAGTGGTTCCCAAACTTATTTGGCCTACCGCCCCCTTTCCAGAAAAAATATTACTCAGCCCCTGGAAATTAATTTTTTTTAAAATTTTAATAGCAGTTACTCATCGCCCCCAAATGCACCTGTGGCCATCACCGCCCCCCTGGATCGCTGCAGCGCCCACTGGGGGGTGGTAGCGCCCACTTTGGGAATCAATGGTCTAAATAATGACTCTTCTTAACGCTGAAAACCAACCAAGGGCGTCACGTGATCTGGGAAAGCGGAGTGCTCTCTCGCTTAAGAAAGGTGCACAGGCACC